TAAGGCGGAGGGCAAGACGCCCCTATACGTCAACTCGACGGCCGGAACGACGGTCATGGGCTCCTACGATCCCTTTGAGGACATTTCGAGCATCTGCAAGGAGTTTGGCCTCTGGTTCCACATCGATGCCAGTTGGGGAGGATCCGCCATCTTCTCAGAGAAGCAAAAGGCCAAGCTCAAAGGATCCCATCTGGCCGACTCGTTGACGGTCAACCCGCACAAGATGATGAACGTACCCGTGACGTGCTCGTTCCTGCTCACGCCGGACGAGAAGGTATTCCACAAGGCAAACACATTGCCTGCGGGGTACTTGTTTCACAGCGTGGACGAGGCCGAGGACGTGTGGGACCTGGCGGACCTTACCCTCCAGTGCGGACGTAGGGGCGACAGTCTGAAGCTGGCGCTGGCCTGGATCTACTACGGTACCGGCGGTTTCGAGCGGCAGATTGACCATGCTTTTTCCCTGGCAGAGCAACTCGCGACTTTGGTGCAGAAGAGCGACAACTTTGTCTTGGTCTCGTCGAACCCGCCGCCTTGCTTGCAGGTCTGCTTCTACTATGCGCCAAACGGCCAGCTTGCAGAGGAACCCGAGGCGAATACAAGACGGACTAGCGACATGGTCCACAAGCTGATACAGCGCGGCTTCATGATCGACTATGCTCCCGGGGAACGAGGTAGCTTCTTCCGGGTTGTCGTCAACTGTCAGACCCTCCAGGGAACCGTCGAAGGCTTGGTTAAGGCGCTACTAGAAGTCGGCAGGGAGATTGCGGCGTAAGTGCTAGAGAATTATGTAGCAAAACGGTGCAATTTAAGTATAAGGACATCGAAGAATGATGTCCCAGATGATAGACTCAGCCGAACCAATGCCAGCAGAAAGTCCACAGACGAGATTCTACGTGCGCGATGTGTTCGGGCGTGAATGGCGCTACCTGTGGCCGAGACAAGATTGGAAGACAGAAGAATCAAACAAGAACAGATCTTACGAGTGAGAAGAGCTAGAAAGCATCTTTTAGGCATGAAATTTGACCGAGAGATAAGAAGCACTGAAGCGATCCCAGAGGGAAGATGGAGGAGAGGTTTCTGGGGAAGCAGGGGTGATAGACCTGGATGTGGGGCAGGGATAAGGTCAGACTAAGGTAAGGTACCTTAGGTGGTGGGGTGGATACAGATAAGATAAGATACGAGATTAGATAAAGGAACCCAAAAGTTTTTTTTCTTGAGGTACTCGTCTCTCCAGTGTTCGGTACGACGAACCCGCCTAATTCCCTAGCAAAATACCTTTCGCCTTGCAACCTCCAGCGCTCAGTCACAATGCCGAAGCCGAGAACGAAACGTCAAGCGATTCGCGACGAGCGAAAGAAGAAGAGGAGAGAGGTAGACGAAGAGAATTACGAAGCGAACAAAGAGGGACGATCGTCGAAGCGCAGGCGGGTCGAGGATGAGGAACAGGATGGCGAACAACAGCCCGCCTTCGACGATGCGGCGAACGACCAGGAGCAGTCGTTCCGTGGCAATGGGCCTGAGGTGGAATTCTTCGGAATGCTTGCCGACGAGGAACAGGAATACTTCCGCCGCGCCGACGAGCTGCTCGCATTGAACCAGTTTCCCTCGTCCGAGGAGCGCGACGTCTTCCTGCAGAATGTGTACAAGGAAGCGCGGGGCAAGGAATTGAAGTTGGCCAGCAGTCAATCGCTTTCACGACTCATGGAGCGTCTGATAATCCTTTCCAACACGAGACAGAAGAAGCAGATTTTCAATGCTTTTGCCACTCATTTCTTGTCTCTGGTACAGCATCGATTTGCCAGTCACTGCTGCGAGAAACTATTCCTCGAATCGGCACCCGTTGTGACACAAGAGTTGGGAGGTATCGTGCCGGAACCTAAGGCGGACGACGAGATGGATACTGAGGAGAACGGCGAGCCGGCGCCTGAAAACACCATGGAGGACCTCTTCCTTATGACCCTCGATGAGTTTGAACAGCACATGGGATTCCTCCTGACGGACAGATTCGGGTCTCATACCCTGCGCGTGCTTCTGGTTGTTTTGTCTGGAAGGCCACTGGACGACGCAGCTACCAAGTCGATGCTGAAAAGCAAGAAGAAGGAGTACATTTCCGTCCAGGGCGCCACAGCAACCGCAGACGAACTCACTCACCAGCTGAGGGCCGTTCCCGAATCCTTTACCATGGCCACCAAGAAGATCATCCAGGACGCCGTCTCCGGTATGGACTTCACCGCGCTGCGCGTGCTCGCCAAGCACCCTACGGGCAACCCTCTCCTCCAGCTCCTGCTCGAGCTCGACATCTCCCTCAACCACAAGAGCGACAAGGAATCCGCAGCATCAACGAAGGACACCCTGCTGTACAGGCTGTTGCCCGATGCACCTCAATCCTTGAGCGACGAGTCATCGCAGGCGGCAGACTTTGTCAACAGCATGGTGTACGACCAGATCGGATCTCGCCTCCTCGAAACGCTCCTCACAAACTGCCCCGGCAAGATCTTCAAGGCGCTTTCTCGCAACTTCTTCGGCGAGCGCGTCGCAACCTACGTCCGCAACGACATTGCCTCGTATCCCGCTCTTCGCGTTCTGAATCGTGCCAGCAAGGACGACCTCGTCGAGGCCGTCAAGAAGATCATCCCCGCCGTGCCCCTCTTGGTGACCAAGGCTCGATACAACGTGCTCAAGACCCTCTTTGAGCGCTGCGAGGCCCGTGGCGCGTATGAGGAGAAGAGTGCGCTCACAAGAGCTCTCACCGACGCGCTCGGGTCCAACCCAAGGGACGTGGTGCCGAAGCTGTGCCACCTTGTCGAGGAAGAGCCCGCCGCCGAGGACAAGAAATTCCAGCAGGATGGCCCGCAGAACAAGACTGCCGTCGCCAACCACGGTTGTCAACTTGTGATAGCCATGCTCAAGACCTCCGGCAACCCCGTCAAGGTCGCCCAGAAGTCTCTCCTCGCCACGCCCCCAGACCTCCTCGTCAAGCTCGCAACCACGTCAATGGCGTCAATGACCGTCCTGACGACAGCCCTCGCCACCCCAGCCGCCCCCCAAAACGAGTTCTTCCACAAGGCCCTCGTCGGCGCGCTCGCCCCGCACGCGGCAGAGCTCGCCCAGTCGCAGTTCGGCCACAACATCGTCCTTGCCATCATCGATGTGCCCTCCCGTGGCACGGACCGGTCGATCCCGTTCCACGTCAAGCAGACCATCATTGGCGCGCTGGCGGAGCATGAGAGGGCCCTGCGCGACTCATGGATGGGCCGCAGCGTCTGGCGCACGTGGAAGGGTGACATGTGGAAGACGAGGCGGTCCGACTGGGTCAAGTGGGCCAAGGAGGTGGACGGGCCGGCCGAGGAGACCAAGCTGAAGCCGTGGGAAAGGAGAAAGTTGGATCAGCAAAAGGGACTTCAGCCGAGACCAGCGGCCGCCCCGGTGAGGGAGAAGGTTGAGGTGGAGGAGCAGCAGGAAGAGTGAGACGCGGCATGTGTATGATACCCGGCACCAAATCATTCATCGAATGTAATCCAAAATATTGAACTGCCTAAACTTCAAAGCCCAGAGAGACATGTCTCTAAGATGCTTAGTTCGTTACCTATGACTTGCACGCCTCTCATTATGAATCAAGACACATAGAAAAGAATCGCAGACGCTGTTCTCGATATCAAATGCCAAAGAAGGACCGGGGCAGCTTCGACCACGCGGGAAAGAGTGGGGCGCCGAGACCGCCGAGCCGGGCCCGGCCTTCTCAATCTGTCGATCCAGATGGAGTTCCGGCTTGGCTTCTTCGATGCCTATGACAACAAGTCTGTTGGATGAAACTCACATATGTGGTCTATCCAACCGACGAGTTCCTCCTTTGGACCTAGGAAGTTTTGGCAAGAAGTCTAAGAAGCTCGAAACCGAGATTTTCTGAACAACCACTTGCAGTCTGCTCAGGTAGGCCATTGAGTTTTCCTTCCATCAGACCGACAAAGTGACAATGGCCTAGAAGTAAGCCCGGCCCCCTCGCTGGCCGCTGACAGATCCTACCGCGGTACTGCTCATCTGGGATCTCGTGGCACCCATGCAAGCTGAAATTCAAAATATAGACTGCGTCCAAAAGCTTAGCCGGAAATTGCTCATTGAGATGGCACAAGGTTTGATTAGTTCACCCTATCTTAGATTGACCAGGTGCATAGGGCTGCGTCTTTCGATATGACTTGTCGCACCACGCAAATTGACGAGCAATGCCAATTATCTAACTAGCTATAAATTCTGCCAGCGATAATCTTCTCGTCTCTTCCCAACTGGCATTGCCTTTGTGCTCCTGATCATACGCCAAGTTTTCACTTCGCAGAACATGAGGAAAAGAGCCGCAGGGTAGTGTGCCGCACATCCGGCCCTGGTCCTAGTCAAGCGCAAGTTCGCGCGCGGGGATCACTAATACCAACAGGACCGAGTTCCAACACGTGCGGAAGATCTCTTTTTGCAGCTTGCAAGGACTCAATTCCATAGCGCAACTCGCAAGGTCAGTCGAGGAAACGGGTAATAATTTTCCATCCAATCAGCCTCATCGGTGGATCGTCTGAACTCGCGTTCGTTTGCCTATCCCCCTTTTGGGACCCCATGACTCCTACACTCCCCTCTCCCCTCCGCAATTGAGGCTGCTTTTGCCCACCGGGACCAACGTCAGTAAGCCGTTAAGATTCGGCCTCTCCTTACCTGATACTAGTCTCATCTCCGCAAAAGACCACCACCATCCCGGGAATCCCAACCCAACTCAAAAATTTCCCAGGAAAATCTGCGGGTGTGCGTTTTTCGATATGTTCTGACCCGGGAGACCGATGTCACCCTTCCTCTCCATTGTGGACCCCTCATAATGAGAGGGTCCCACGACTCGGGGGCGAAGCTTTGAGATGTTTATAACAACCTGGCTTAGCCGCCGTGATAGCTTGAATCGCTACTGAGCTGCTCACACTCTCTGTCAACGTCAACTCACGGTCTCTACATCCCTTGCCGCCGCCATGCTGTACCGTAACCTGCTGCCATTGGCATTCTCTCTCGCGACCCCCGCGCTCGCGCAGACGACCAAATGTGTTATTTCGCCATCCAGCAATGCGACATCGGACGCGGCTGCCATCGCCGAGGCGTTCACCAAGTGCGCTAGCGATGCCGAGATCATCTTCCGTGAGGGCGTCGAGTACAAGGCCTACGAGCCGATCGTCGCCACCAAGCTTTCCAACGTTGTCATCACCGTCAACGGCAACATTACTCTGCCCGAGGACATCCCCACCGTCCAGGCCCTCGTCTCAGCCAAGGGCGGCACGCTCACCTGGTTCCAAATCGGCGGCACCAACGTTCAATGGATCGCCTCAACTGATGTATGTTTTCTGACCGTAATACCCTGACAAAATCTCATCGATACTCACAATATCCCTCTACAGCCTCACGCCGGATGGATCAAGTCCCACGGACAAGCCTGGTGGGATGCCAATAAGCCCGGCGAAGCCGGCACGCCCAACCGGCCCCATCTTATGCAGTTCAGCGTCACCAACGGCGTCATGAAGAACATGAAGTCTCTCAAGCCCATCGGCTGGAACTTCTCCATCAAGGGCAAGAACATTACAATCTCCGACACCGTCATCGACGCCCGCTCCGAGACGAGCAGCTTCCCCTTCAACACGGACGGCTTCGACGTGGGCGCCACGGACGTGACCATCACAAACAGCAACATCTTCAACGGCGACGACGCCATTGCCATTAACGACGGCGCCAACAACGTCCTCTTCAAGCACGCCACCATCGGCTTCGAGACCCACGGCATGAGTGTCGGTTCTCTGGGCTCAAAGGTCGCCTCTGTGGCTGATGTGAAGAACATCCGCTTTGAGGACGTTGATGTCCACGGCGGTTTGTATGCCGCACGCTTCAAGAGCTGGATCGGTGGACAGGGGTTGGCGAAGAACATTACCTGGAGCAACATCCGTCTCGACAATGTTACCTTCCCCATCTTTGTCACGCAGACCTACTTCAACCAGGCCAGCGCCGGCGGCGACAGGCCCAACAACTCGTCCGTCATGATGGAGGACTTTACCTGGGAGCACTTCTCCGGTAGTATCAACACCAACAACCCCGGCGATGGATCCTGCACCACAAACGTAAGTCTTTCTTTCACATAACACACACTCTCAGGTTTTACAAATTTGTGATGAATACACGTATGCTGACAATGAAATGTAGCCTTGCTGGTACAATGCTGGACTCCCGAATCTCACCCACACCGAGGCCGTCATCATTGAGTGCAACACCCAAACGTCATGCAAAAACTTCCAGACCAGAGACATCAAGCTCCATCCCCAGAGCTGCGGCGCCCCCAAGCTCATCTGCATGAACGCGATGCCGACGCTGAACCCCAACCTCGGCTTCGAGTGCGCCAACGGAACATTCGCTCCCACCGCATGAGAAGACTTTGCGTGTGTGTTGTAGCATAGTAATAGTAATCAACCTTCAGAGTACATTGACTAATCTTTCGATCCTCTCTCATGTGCGCAAGATGAGTGTGATACTCACTCATGTCCCATTTGACAGCCTCCACTGCAATACTGCCTCACGACTTTGCGGCTCTGCGCCTCAAGTGACAGACAACACCCTTCGTCCGGTAAAACCACCGCGAGCTCGTCCACCACTTCTCATTGGGGTCCACAAGCTCAATTTCGAATCTCGAGATCAGCGACGGGACAACCTTGTACACCTCCATCTGACTCAAATTCCTTCCAAGACAAATACGCGACCCCCCGCCAAACGTGATATCAGCCGCGTTCCACTGCCTCATCCGCAGCTTATACGCCTCCTCGCCCTCAGACTCCTGCCGCAGCCAGCGCTCGGGGCGGAACTCGTCGGCGTCCTCCCCGTAGACACTCTTATTGCGGCCCACAATGTACGGGTTCATGCCGACGAGGGAGCCGCCGGGTACGACGGAGCCGTCGGGGAGCGCGAGGCCGCCTTCGGGGACGATGCGCTCCATTGTCATGGAGACGGCTGGGTGGTAGCGGGTCGTCTCGCGGCAGACTGCTTCGAGGTAGGGGAGGGCGCGGGCGGCGGAGTGGGATGCCGGCTTGTCGCTGGGGATGTTGGCTACAACTTCGGCTTCGAGACGCTTCCAGATATGGGGGTTCTTGAGGCAGTAGTAGAAGAGGGCGCGCATTGTGATGGCGGTTGTGTCGGCGCCGGCGATTACTACAGTCTTTCGTTAGCAATGCTCCTATCAGACGAATTCTAACAGCCAGGATAAGGAAAGAGCTCACGATTTAGCAGGAGATACCCAATGATCGTACCCTCATTGACAATCTCAGGATGCGTTCCCTTGGAATCGATGAAATACTGCAGGAAATCCGGCTTCTCAGACGTAGAGTTTGTATCTTCGCCCTTGAGGCGCTCAGTCATGTTCTCGACAGCTATCCTAGTCACGTTGGAGATGTTTGGCGGACCCAAAGGGTAGACCGGGTTCTTGTCGAGCCAGTAGTCCATCCACGGCATCTGTCCGCAGAGACCCAGGTAGTCGATCGACTGGTCTCCAATAGCCAGCGTGCCGTCAAAGTCGCGGCCTGCGTCCATGTAGCCAAACTTCTTGCTGAAAGTGACGTAGCCGAGGAAGTCCCATGCGTCTGCGATCCAATGTCAGAGAGAAGAGTAACAGACTAGTAATCTAAAGAATGGCGCCCGCCGAGTGCTTACAATATGCCAGCCAGTCGCCAAAGTCGCATTTCTTTCCCGTATCGACGAATCGGCTTTGAAGATGATCGCAGAACTCGTCAATGACCTGGTCCATGTGTGGCTCCATTGCGAGCACGCTGGGGACGGAGTAGTGCCGGACCACAGGTCTCTTCAATCTGGCGTGCTCGACATTGTCGACTTCGCTGAACATGTGATATGTGATCTTTCCATTGATGATTGAGCTGCTGTTCTGATAAAAGTTTGACTGTAGACGTACGGTTAGAAGCTTCGTGGTATATGGAGATTGTTTGGTAATAAACCTACCTTTGTCCACTTTCCGTCGGTGCTGTAGATGACCTTCACCAGCTCCGGAATATCGATGTCTAGGAGATTCGGGCCCAGTCGCACTATGGGTCCGTATTTCTCATGTAGCTTCTTCATTCGAGGGGCATAGTCGGCTGAGATGACTTGCCCAAGACGCCATAGATTGGTCCATCCTAGGGCACAGTAAGTGTTGGCACGGCGGATAGTTTCTTCTCTCCGGTGTATGGACGAAAAGTCTGTAGATAAGACCGGTTTTCACTGAGCTTACCTGCTAAAAAAGGACCAGGATATCTCTTCAAAGAAGAAGTCTGCCAGGATGCGAAGAACCAGAGAACGATGCCGATAGTAGGAGTGAGCAACACAATGCTCGCCTTATAGGATTGAGCATTCGTCAAGACGGACTCCCACGAGGACGATGTCCCGTTAGTAGTCGAAGACAGCGAATCCATAGCAATGAGTTCGAGCTGTTGCGGCCACGATCATGAGTCGAGAGGGCCCAGTCTGTGGTATGACAGAGAAAGGAGTGTAATAAATGACAGTCTGGGTATTGAGAATCAATGTGCCGTCCGGTTCTATAAGCGGGTCGGCAAAAACGACGAGAGAGACGGCGGCACCAATTATTTGTGATACCCTGCGTAGAGATAGATCCGCAGTAAGCTGTTGGTTGCAAGTGCAACGCTCCATGTTTCCCTGTATCATCCCGTTCGAGTTATTTGCAACTTTGTAGAAATGATATGCGGGGACCCTTGCTCTTGGCGGAGGGGCCATGCCGCCATACAGCTGTTTAATGTTGGGTCGAGATGCAATGGTACGATTGCTAGCACCTTTGCCCCATACCTTGTGAGGAGATGCGAGGCTTCTTACATGTGATGAAATGAGCTCAGGTCTTCGAAGCTGGTCAGGTTCTCAAGCCCAGCCACCCAAGCACCCCATCAATTCTCTTTCTCAAGATTGGCTGCAGCAATATTCTCAGCGGTCGCCTTGCTGGCTTATCAGTTCACGTTTCTTGCATTGGACCTCGTCCAGTCACGACAGTTAACGTTGTACATCCAATGACAGGTCGCTTGTACGGGTAGCAGCGTGGTGTAACGTTCGACCATCACACTCATGCATAATTGCATAGCATGGAGTGAGTGCACAGTACACCAATAGAAGGACTATGATTGGCTATGGCAAAACTCTTGACAACGGGCAGGGCCTTCCCGAGGATCTATACTCAATCTAGACTCCAGAATTCGAGCATAACTTTCAAACTGACGTGTAAGTTTTGACGGGCGTGGCGGCGGATGAGCGGGAGGCCAATTTCGCGACTCCTCGACCCTTTACTCCTGGTCCGCCATTCTGAGCAACCTTGGCGGATCTTTTGGACTTGGCCAGCCGGGGACCTGGTTCTTCAGTGGGTATCTTTCTACACCGGGTTTGAAACTGGTCTGCTCCGGTTCGCTTGAGAAGCTCGGTTGGTTCTTTCGTAGGAATTAGATTGTAGGGCTCAAACGCAGTTTGCCGGAGAATATGTTGTTGGTTCACGAGCGGAGCTAGGGGGCAAAATATCAACCAACATAGCGGATTTGGTGGCAGACGAGGACTTCATTACGTGTCTCCCAGCCGAGCTCGTCTAACACTAGGATGATGTTACAGGCAACAACCAACACGACAGGCTACGTGACTTCGCTTTAATGTCCAATGCCACTGGTGGCGACATTGACTGAAGGAGCTTTGATGTTTAAATGTCACTCACTCAAATTTTGTCGGTTATCTAGACCGCCACCAGATCATGTCTTGTAGAAAATCCTTACAGATGAAGGATATATTGTGCTTCATGGAAACCGTTGACTTCTCACTTTACATGAAGGTTCCCTAAACGCGCTGTGGAAGAAATTTTCCCAGAAGAGAAATGACATCTGGGCCGTTGGACCGATGGAAATGCACCAAGAACCTCCCTTTACCTTGGGAAACAGGGCCCCTGGTGACCGAAAATCAACAACTTTGTGTTTTCCCAGAGACTGGTTGTTAGAACATGCGGCAAAGTAACAAGTCCTGGACACTGGCGGAGTCTAAGGAGAGTCCCTATTCTTGTGTTGAAGCCCATGACCGGAAGTGTTGGCTGCTACCTACGAGTCGTTCAACCCCGCAGACAATGAGTGTACCCTAGTGCCTCGAAAATACTGTGAGAGGAAGTTTAGATATGCTATATTATCTTATTCAAAAGAACTATGTGGAGTTATGTTGGCCGACTGTTGGTTTCAATGTGATGTGATCACTGTCGAGAAACCACGTGCAGATCTTTGCAGCCATCTATTTGGTGCATTCACCTAGGCTACGGGAAATTTTTATTGCCAAACTCTTTCAGCTCATTAGAGTTGTAGCCTCTCTGTACGTGCTGTTATTATACTTTACAAACCTTCAGTTTTGTCACCAAGGTCGAAGGCCATTTGCAACACGTTTTTTCCGAAGGAGTTTACTCTATTTCTAGGGATCTAGGCTATCGTTTATTTCCTCGCCAATCTGCACCATAGCGATGGACGGTGAGGCCTTGTGGGCTCTGCCTGTCATGTGGTCTATGACGGGACTCGTTTTCTTGTTCCTTCTTCTACGTTTTTATATGCGCGTAGTTTGCCTCTCATCATACGGACTTGATGACCAAATCTACGTTGCCGCGTTTGTAAGTTCCCCTTCTCTTCGCGCACATCTCGCCCCAGGACTGACATTTGCCGCATCAGGTTTTTCTTCTTATCTTCAACATATTCACACACCTAGCAGCCAACCATGGTTTCGGACAAACACCGGACGAGATCGGAAACATTGAGGATGTCGTTCGAGCTACTCTGTTCGAATGCATTGGCCAAGGTTTCGCCATCGTGGGGATGGCCATTGCGAAGTGGTCCATGGGCTTTTTCCTGCTGCGAATAGTTACACTCGGGTGGCACAAGGTGGCTATTTGGACAGCAATGGTCCTTGTCGGACTTGCCTCTACTATTAAGTGAAATGAATGGCTTTATTGCTCATGTCTCTATCAGTAGTCTCAGCTTTGGACTTCCATCGAACAAAGATTGCCCAGTTCTTCAGGCCCGCTAACATTTACTATAAACAGCACAGGCCCTTTGTTTTTGGCTGTCATGCGTGCCCTTTGACTACATGTACGATCGCAGAATCGAGGGAGGATACTGCCCCATTGATACGAGGCCGACTTTGTATATTCTGTGTGGTGAGCTACATTTCTGCCGAGACAATGTGAAGAGTCAACACAGGCTGACCGGACATTCAGTGTCTACAATTCTTGTCGACACTTTTTTCGCGATATTCCCTTGGGTGTTTATCTGGAAGTTACAGATGCCAAAACGCGACAAGATCACTATCGCGGCGAGTATGAGTTTCGGGCTTTTGTGTGTTGACCAGCCCCTTCTTTCTGCACCGCCTAGCGCTTCATATGGTTGACGTTTCGACCGAGCAGTGCCGCAGCAGCAGGTATCAAGCGTACTGTCGAAGTAGAGGGCCTCTATACGGCAAATTACCTGAGTACACCTACCTCAAACACCTAAACTCAACAATCGTGACGAATACCGACGCATCTTTGACAGGAGACAGTGTGGGGTTGATTGTCTGGTCAGCTGCCGAGATGGCTATTACAATGGTAATTTCTACAAAGCAAGCCCCGAGACTCCAATCACCTTATAGGAACTGACCGTCACAGATCTGCGTTGGCATACCCGTTTGCCGGCCGCTTTACAAGCGTCTCTTTTATCGATTCACGTCCGAGAATGCTAACTCAGGATACCAAAAACAAAACGAAGAACGGTCCTCTTCGGTCCCGCTCCGCACGATTGGCGGCGGGTTGGTCGGCGGAGACGGTCGCCCTCTGCCTCAGAGCAAGACAGACACCACCAACAGGTCGGACACTGATGATCTAAGCTTCAAGGACACTTCACTTGGCATTAAAGGGTCCTCCACTCGCACACAAGTCAGCAGAGGCGATATACAGATGGAGAACACTTCGGATGAAGAGATTTTGGGGGAGGAGTTCCGAAGAAGCCAAGTCATGCAGACGGAGGGACGTCATTATGATAGGCATGGCGAACAAGAACCCAGACTTGGTAGCATACTCGTGACAGAGACTTACAACGTCGATCGGTCGTAAGTTATGCTGATGCTGGAACATGGATATATGGAAAGAGTACACGTTGCAGCAGCTGGCTAAACGCCGAATCTTGTCCTGTCTTTCATTGAGCAACGTTGGACTAGGAACTATATGACCCGTCCTTCTAGCCGTACTGAAGCATATTTCACAGACAACTTTGATGCTTCTCGCTGTTGGACAAACGGCCCGCTGTCACATTTATTTTCACGCCATTTTGTGTACCCTCATCAACCATCTTCCAAGGCCTTCTCAAGCTGCTCTCTAACCTTAGCCATACTCGATTCTCCGTCTTGAATGTTGCCCACTGCGACAGTTTTGTCCCTGGACTTGAGCCCTTGGGTAATAGTCAGGTCGGATTTGGGAATGCCCAAAACCTGAACTTGAGTTAGCAATCAGTAGCAAAGAGAACCTACATACCATGATGCGTTCCCCTTACAAAAGAAAAAAAAGAAAAAAAAGAAGGAAAAAAAAAATGAGAGTTGTTTAAAGCTGAATAGTACACATACCCCGCTGAGCAACTTCACGACGGCTTTATTAGCTTCGCCTTCCTTCGCTTGCGCTGAAACGCATAGCTCTACGGTCGCATCTGTGACAGCCGTGATCCCCTCGCGAACTCGGGATGCGCCAGGTTTAACGTGGCATTGTAGGTATAAGGTCCCCAATTGTGATTTTCTGGTGCCTGCCACGAATCGAACCGCCGATGATGCCATGCCGGATTGATTAGTTTAGCGTGAAAGGTATTGTAATGTGGACGTGAAGTTTGGGTGTGGTGGTGTGGATAAAGTTGTTGTGGAGAGGCAGATTCGGACGGAGAAGCCTAATTGGGTCTTAGAAAAGCATGCCAGGAGACGCTGTCATATGTGACACCCAACTCTAATATGCCTTCCCAACTTGTGTTTATTGGAGCAGAACCTTGACCAGGGCAGCAAGGAGCGTGTTATCTGAACTAATTCAACCGACAATTCTTCGAACCTACGCGATCAGATGAAAACACACTGAAGACTTATCAACAATTGAGTTCTTTGCCGGATCTTCAGCATGATTGACAAGAGGCACATCAAAGCTGGACGTAAAAAGTTCGCTCAAAACCAAACCTCAACTGTAGAGTTGTCACTAAACTTTCGAGCAAGTTTAATTGGCCTGGTTTCGCTTTCTTACATACTAATCTAGAAAATATTTGCTTGAAGGAGTGTAAATCAATCTGGTATTCCCATTGCTTTCCTTCCCCACAGCGTCAGGCCTGTGGGACTAAAAACCATTTTGTGTCGCTTGCTTCTGTTTAAGAGTTGTTGGCTTACAACGAAGTCTGTTGAGTCTGCTGCCCAGCATTTTCAACAGCTCTATCCACTGTATGCGGTTGAGATGAATGGGCTCGGAGCTCCTTCCTCTCGAGGAGGGCGAGGCGATTCTCCGCATGCATTCTCTTCGTAGTGATTCTCTCAGGGTAATTTCTCAGAAACATGTTGGTAAAGTGGGTGCCGTAGTGGATTCCCTCCTTGGGAGACTGGCCGACATCGTATCCTGGAAGAGGCCTGGCAACGGCCTGAAAGCTGGGCTCATGGAAGTAGGCGAAAGCGAAACGATCGCGGGTGTTCAAGCCAACCTTATGGGGAGTAGAGGGCAGATAGGAGTTGGTGATGTACTGCATGATATCACCGGGGAAGACTGTGAAGACGTTGGGAACAGGGGGCACGTAGTGCCACCGGTCGTCCTCCTCTGCCATTCCAGCTGAGCTCTTTTCCCAATTTGCGTAGTGCTCACCGTCGTATGGGGGACGGATGAAGAGGCCTGAATGGGTGTATTAGTTTCCGCCAAGTCCGACTCGCTCATGGCCATGACTTACCACCAACATCATCTTGGGCAGCAATGACCAACAGGCCATAATCCGTGTGAGAGCCAATGCCACGTCCAGCCTTGCCCTTGCCGTTGGTGTTGTGGGTAGGAGGGAATCTAGTAGGATAAGTGTTATTACATGTAGGCAGGTGTCTGAAGAGACTTGGCTGCTGCCATGATTGTGATTTACCTGAGGATACGCATGTGATGCCAGCCGTCCTGAGTCAGGTTTGTGAGGGAGCCGGCGGGGACATTCAGGCCTAACTCAGCAAGCTGGAGCAACTTCTCTCCACTCTCGCCAAGGTAGTCCATGTATGTAGTCATGGGCTGTTTCATTTCGTAGTCGGGCCATGGGGCCGGGCCGTGGCAGGGCCACTTTGCGCGAACGCGGGGCTCAGCAAGATCCAAGTCTTTAGTGACGGTGAAGATCTCAGAGTAGTCAGCGATGCCATCGGTAATTTCCTCTCCAGAGGCGATATAGCCCGAGTAACTCTGAGAGTCAACACATGCAGCTTTCTCGTCATGGGGCTTGGCAAAGAATGCCTTGCTCGAGGCTGTGGCTTCGTTGAAGATATGTTGCTGCTTGTCGTTCATCGAGACTTGAAGGATACCATCTCGGCGCCAGGCATCGACCAAAGCTTTTCCCATAGCGCGATCTCCAGGGCTACCTGTGACACGCTCAGGAAGTGTGAATGTCTCAAGCTGAGCTACTGTGGCTTTGTGCCCCGGAGGCATTGTTGCAGCCATCCGCCCGAGGTTGTGGTCTGTGACGGTTGCCAAGTGACGACTGTGGTGGCCAAGGGCTGACTTCCATGTCCCGCGGCGAGCAAGTGTGCTCAAAGACTTCGTGATGGCTGACATGATTGTGACGAGGTTCTGAATTCAGAATATTCCCAAGAGAATTTGGTGAAAGACAATATGCTGAAAGAAGATTGGTCAAAGACTTGAATTTCTTGATCTTTACAGCTTACTTGTGCTCTCTTTATACTTGGCACTTCACTCCCTGTGCCTCATCATAGCTTCTGCCAAGCGGCATTGGGTTGCAATTCACATGCCGGAGGCACGTTTCCATTGTCTCAAGGACTACAAAAACAACTTTAGGTTTCCTTCGGAATTGACGAGGTCTCGTTCATATCATATACTTGAACTTAATTCTATCCCATTTAGCAACAGAGGGGCGGTGCTTCAGACCTCAGGGAGTCTTGAGACATGCCTGTTCGGCATCGACTTTCCGTTTTAGCTGGTGTATCCCGCAGACGCCCAGGAAGCTATCTACGATGCTTGGCCTTTTCATGGGTCGGGGCACAATGTCTTCGGCGGAATAGAGGTGGAACCCGTGTCGAGGTCTCCAGAAGGCCCACTGAGTTACCAGGAGGAGTTGTCGAGTCAAGAGGATCAGATTTCGTAATGTCCCTTGCAATTTCGCAATTGGGCATCTCCACGATGGCCTGTATCTTTGATAGATGCCAAGAAACCCACCGGCAGCTAGCTTCAACAACTAGGGCTTCAATTTCCTCTTAAATCGGTCCTGAAGTTTGGCAGAAAAGTTGCAATAAGTAAAGCCCTTCTTCCAGTAATTAAAGAGACTATTGCCAAGTCCGAGGTCCATCAGAATGAATTGTCAACTTAACCAAGAAATGTATAAGCCAATCATGACCTCGCGAACTTGTGCGATACGGACACATTGTGATCAAAGCTTTGGTTGCATTGAGCCGTAAGTCTAGGGTAACGTGTACAGGATGATTGGACAGACTGGTTTGTGCACTCCTACAACACTAACTGTTGGGTTCACCGCTCTCGCCGCTTCTGCAACAAGTTACCCAAGAGCCTGGTCTTGCTCAGCCGCCAAGGATTACCCTCCATGGGATCCACGTAGGTTTAGACTTTCTTTTCTGCCCACGGCTAAATGAGGTTCGCCCCAGTTGACACGAAACCTTAACTGATGCTTTGGTACCGAATTGGTTGCTTACAGATCAAGAGAGTTTTGCGCGCGTTACCAGACGAGCGGTTTGACGGTGTCGAGGCTTGGCAGCGGCTCAAACGTTCTTTGATGAGTGAGAGGCGCGAGTCATAACGGGATTTCCTCTTACCTGGGCTATGAGGTGTCTGAGTATTGACTTTCGCATCCAGTCCGTCTCCAAGACGCTCTTTCTGTGGCCTCCATCTGCGGACAATTACCCCGGACACGGACTTGAGTCATCCCGCGTGGACGTTCTAAAGTGGGAGCTGGCCGCAAATCATGATTCGTGGACCTCACAACTTCACCCTTTTCGAAGGAAACCTTGCCTTTTCTGGAACTACTGTGCGGCACAGCCGAGACCGCCAAGTTATCTCCATCGATGCATCTCCGTATGATCCGTAAAAAAAAATGGATTCTAGTGTACAAATGAACAAGATTCCAGGCATCAGCTTGGAGAAAGGTAATCTAATTATGAAAATTGAGGGCAATGTTGAATGTTTTTTTTTTTTTTTTTTTTTTTTTTTTTAAATGGGGTTAATCGAATCCCAGCGCAATGTAACAGCACGTTAAGCTCGGAGTTCGGCCAGAGTCACGATAACTACTGGATGAGTCTCCCCTGTGTAACATTGCAACGTCTTCAGCCAATATGTGACAGCTTTACCAAGCCCCCTCGTTAGAGGTATGCATGCATAAGCACAAGGCCTCTCGATGCAGGGCTTCCGTCAAAGTCCGAGTTCCCATCCATGGATTCCTCAACTTCCCTCTCGCCTAATTTTTCTTGGCATCTGCTGTTAGTGAATGAGTGAGCCTACCACCAAATTACTAACAGCCGAAAACTCTTCACCTCCCCTTGCCGGAGCCCGCATCCGCGATGGCCTCACAGCCGCCGTCGGGCACCGGACTGATGTCGGCCGACCAAGCCGACCCCGAACCAGGCTCCGGGACACCTCCGGAGCCGAACCCCACCTCAAGAGCTAAGCGACGCCGCGACGCCGAGGCACAGCCGACCCGGCCCAGCCTAACGGGAAGCCAGCTTGATGCCACCACCGACGCCCCTACCTCGGCCGAGGGGCCCGCAGCCTCTACCGCATCTGCTCCGAGCGGATCTGCCACAGGGTCCGTCTTGACAGCCCTTGCAGAAGAAGCTAGACAGTACGAGGCACGGAAAGACGTCTTTCTGACCATTGCACGGTCCGTCGACAGCGTTGTCGCCAGCTTTGACGGTTCTAGAAAGCAGATCGCGAAAGAAGCCACTGCCTATGTCATTCAAACCCTCAAGAGACTGATCAATCACGAGACAAGCCCAATAGCGGCCCGGAGTTGGGCGGCTGTCGTCGCACCGATGGCGGGCAACACCACTGCGGCGACCCGGAGCGGCCAGAGCTGCCAGAGCTCTGCCCGCCCGAAGGCCACACTCCCCGCCGAGGATCAGCCGCAGGCGCAGCCGAAGGAGGACCTCCGCATCTTTGCCCGCGTCCCGGAAGAAAGCTTAGCGGCCGCTCGGAAGATCGCACCGTTCGCCGTACGACAGATCGTCTGTAAGGCCGTTGGCCTGGGGCTAGCGGACCTTCCCCACGTCTACCATATCAGCACAGGTTACTCTCTGAAGCCGCGAAACAAGCAAATACAGGAAAGACTACTTACAAGTAAGGCAAAGCTGGCGGAATGCCTCGGCGCCCACCAAGTCGAGACGCCTATCAAGTGGCACACATACGTTGTGCCGCGATGCCCAACAAAACTACACAGCATTGGCGGGGACGTCCTGGACCCAGCCACACTCGTTGAAGATGAGGTCTTCGCACAGACAGGACAGAAGCCTGTCCTTGCTCGACCGTCCCGCCTTGGGCCCAACCCAGTCACGAACGAAATATCTTGGCTCATATCATTCACATCAGAGGTCACGCCCTTCAGGCTCTTCAACCAAAGCGGCAGATCTCTGCCCATCAAAAAACGAAGGACGCTCATCCGACATGACCCCGGCTGCCAG